CCCCGTAATAATGTTTAATAAATAGTTAATTAGCTTGATTAATTTATATATTTTTATAATATATTATTGTTTAAATTATTTTTATTTAGTGATATATTAAAATAATTTTTATTTTATTTTTTTATGTTAAATATTTTATATTTTAAAATTAATTTAAAAGAAAAAACTACTGTATTCTTAATAAAATAGTAATAATATAAAAAATAATTAATTTTAAAAATCTAAATATAATTTAAAATTAAATCTGTGACTATAAAATTTTTAATTTAAATAATATTTTATGTAAAATTATTTTAAAAGTAACGAAAAAATAAAATTATGGATTTGTTTATTCTCATCAAATCTTAATCATATTTCCTAATAATACTTTCAAATTTAATCTTATTTTTTTATAAATATGCTAAAGAATTGAGTCAAACCTAGTGGATGAGTGACTAATACATTATTTTTTCTTACAAAATAATACAATTAAACATTTTAATAATATTTTTACATTTCTCAATAACAAATAATAATAATAATAATTCTAAACTCTAAAAAATATGCAATTTTTTTTTATTATTATTTTGAAAGAAATAAAATGTAAATTCTATCCAAAATATTAAATAAAACACTCTAACAAAAAATATTTGATATATTTTATAATTAATATTCCCTCCGTCCATAAAAAAAAAAAAGTATACAATAACTTTTGGCGCAGTGTTTAAGAAATAATAGTATTTTAATTATAGTAGGTAGTTAAAAGTAGTGTAATGACATTTTTGCCTTTGCTTTTTGGTTTAAAAGTAATGATGTGATGTAAAGTAGGGGTATTTGTGAAAAAAAGTAAGATATTTAATGAAATGTTTACTTTGTAGTTGGACGTCCCAAAATAGAAATATGTATACTTTCTAGCTGGACGGAGGGAGTATTATTAAAAAATATATTCATTATATACACATCAACATAATCTATATATTCTACAGTCTTATCAAAATTTAACAATTTAACAAAAAATTATTTTTTATATTATCAACACATTTCTAATAGTTCAAATTAAAAATACAAACAAGTATTTTCTTTGTCCTGCCTTAATGTATATATCTTTTCATTTTCATCCGTCCCGGTTAAACAACGTATACATTTTTCTTTAGTAACTATGGATATTATTACTATCACATCGTTACTTTTACTAAAAAATAAAGACAATTATCTTTACACTATTTTTAAGTATTTATTATATTATTTCTTAAATTATGCACCAAAAGTAACCATACACTATAATGCGAAACGGAGGAAGTATATTTTTATTTTTTAGATTATAATAAAAAATATGATTTAATATATAAAAATATCAAATCAATACTTATTTATATCGTATTTCTAAAGAAAATTCCGTAAGGAATGGCCTGGTAGTGTAGGGGTTGGATTTGTAATCGTGAGATCATGTGTTCAAACCCCCGACACCTCAGGTCAAATTATGCTACTATTATGTCAAATTTTATTTAACTATTAAGTATAATAATTGATAGTAAATATGTGATTAGAATGACAATGATTTTTATTAGCATTTTATATCTCAGTATAGTAATCGTCATCATACAAAATAAAGATTTTTAATCCTTTTATTTTATCCCTTACATTTATAATTAATGTTATTACAAAAATTACATTTTATTTATGTATGAGGTTGGTAATATGACAATGATTACGGTACTAAGTATTAAAGTTTATCATTGTGTTGATAGCACGTCATGTTTTAAAAGAGAACACACGATGTTATTATAGATAACACATTATTTATAATATCATAATAGAAATACAACATATAAATTAACAATACATAATATATTTTTATATATTACACATTTTAAGTATGAATAGATAACACCTGCTTTTATTTCACTCATCAGCCTTATCTTCTATCTGCATTTCCTTATTTTTGGTGATTAAAAAAATTAATTTTCAATCATATTTTAGAGAATTAGGAATAAGTCTTTTATGATTATCTTAACAAGTACATGTAAGTGAACGTGGGAGAAAAAAAAATAGTTTGATTTATCAGCACATAATCACTGAAAGTATTTTTTTAATGAAATAGTTAAAATATATATATTTTTTACATGCAGTATAAAAATTGTATAAATAATATAAAAATAATAAATATATATTATTATTTTTTTAATGTATTTTTGAGAAAATATATTTTTAAAAAAGAACACAACCTGGATTGTTAATTTATAAACAATAATTATGGCAATTAACATATAATTACTCGATTGTTATTTGAGTTTTGGTACTAAACTATTAATTTATAAGTTGTAAATGTTAGATATTGATAAATTATTATTGGATTGTTACTTTATTGTGGTACTGAATTGTATTATTACCCGTAAATTTTGAACATTAACATATAATTATTGAATTGTTACTTGAATTTTGGTGCTAAACAATTAATTTATTTGTTATAACTTTTCAGGTTGGATTAGCTGCTGAATTAATGAATTCAGTTGTGCTGAATTTCATCTACAATATTGATTAATTAAATTACTTATTTAATTAAAATAATTAAATTTAAATTAAGGGTGGAGATTTATTTCAGCTTATGCTGAATTTTATACTACATTAGCACTTGATCCGAAGGCATAAATTTTAGACATCGATCAATAATTATTAGGGCAATATTTGTTCTTTGGTACAAGATGTTAATAATTAACAGTAATTTTTAAAAATTAATAGATAATTATTGAGTTAATATTTTAAATTTTGATACTGAACTGTTGATTTATTAGTTGTAAATTTTGAACATTGACAAATAATTATTGATTGTTATTTGATTTTGGTACTGAGCTGTTAATTTGTCCACGGTAAATTTTGACAATTGATAGAAAATTATTGAGTTGTTACATAGTAGCTGTTATTAATTAACTTGTAATTTTTAGAAATTAATAGATAATTATTGGGTTGTTACTTGATTTTTGATACCAAACTTTTAGTTTATTAGCAATAGGTTTTAGACATTGATAAATCTGTTGGTCCCAAATTTGCCAAATAAACTACAACTAGATTCAATCGCATAAAGTTCATAAGCCGATCAAACAGTATGCACATGCTAAGCAAAAATATGCAAAATTGTTAATCCAGTTCAGCCATACAAGATCTACATATGAGAAGTTTCAACCAAGGCACGATTTCACTAATTCAAAACAAGATGAGCTTATAAGTGAATTGTATCAATCATCTCTCAAGAAACTTTAATTTAATCTCACCTAAGTTTCCAAATAGTCAATGATCGCACTCTCTCACATGTACCCCACTATTTTTTTATATTAACTAACCACTTCAAAGAATCCACAAGAAGATAATATCTTTATTGGAGTGTTATTTGCTCTTTAGTGTTAGCGGTTAATTTATTAACAATAATTCTTTAAAATTGATAGATACTTATTGGATTGTTACTTGATTATTTCTATTGAGCTATTAATTTATTAGTGGTAAATTTTGCATATTGATTGATGATTATTGGGTGGTTACTTGATTTTTGGTATTGTTAATTTATCAGCATTAAAATTTGAGCGTTGACAAATAATTACTGAATTGTTACTTGTTCTTTGGTATTAGTTGTTAATTTATAAACTTATAATTTTTAGAGACAGATAGATGATTGGTTGTTACTTGATTTTTGGTATTAACCTATTAATTTATTAGCTGTAAGTTTTGGACATTGACAAAAAAATAAAATAAAATAGATAAAATAGAGTATTGAATTGTTACTAATTTTTTGTACATAGCTGTTAATTTATTAGTTGTAAAATTTGACATTGACAAATTATTATTGAATTGTTACTTGATTTTGGGTAGGCAACAGTTAATTTACTAGCTGTAAATTTTGTAATTTGACACATAATTATCGGATTGTTACTTGATATTTGGTATTGAACTGTTAATTAACTGCAAATTTTGTAAGTTTGAAAGATAATTATTGAGTTGTTGTTTTATATTTGGTACTGAGCTGTTAATTTATTAGCCGGTAATTTTGAATGTTGACAGATAATTATTAGGTTATTATTTGAATTTTGGTACCAAGTGTTTTGGATGCTGACATATAATTATTTCGTTGTTATTTAAAATTTGGATGTTGACAGATAATTATTTGGTTGTTATTTGAATTTTAGATGCTGACAGATAATTAGTATGTTGTTATTTGAATTATGGTGCGGAGCTGTTAATTTATTACCTGTAAATTTTGGATATTTATAGATAATTATTAGGTTGTTATTTGAATTTTGGTACTGAGTATTTTGAATGCTGACAGATAATTATTAGGTTGTTACTTGAATTATGGTGCTGAGCTGTTAATTTATTACGTGTAAATTTTGGATATTGACATATAATTATTAGGTTATTACTTGAATTTTGGTACTGTGTATTTTGGATGATTGACAGATAAATATTATATTGTTATTATTTGAATTTTGGATGTTGACAAATAATTATTAGGTTGTTATTATTTGAATTTTGGATAATGACATATAATTATTAAGTTGTTATTATTTGAATTTTGGATGTTGACCGATAATTATTAGGTTGTTATTATTTGAATTTTGGATGTTGACCAATAATTATTAGGTTGTTATTATTTGAATTTTGGATGCTGACAAATAATTATTAGGTTGTTATTTGAATTTTGAATGCTGACCTATAATTATTAGGTTGTTATTTGTTTGGTACTGCTGTAAATTTATTACCTGTAAATTTTGGATGTTGAATAATTATTAAGTTGTTATTTGAATTTTGGTACAAAATTGTTAATTTATTACCTGTAAATATTGAGCATTGACAATAATTATTAAGTTGGTATTGTATACATGTTTGTAGAAAAGAATATATATATATTTGCTTATTAATAAGCTACAAGGAATATCAGAAGCCTGCGAAATATTAGTTCGTACCCCCCTCACTCTTCTTATTCAAAATTACTAATAGCCTTCATCTTTACCGCTCAGCTCCCACACCCACTAATGGCGGAGAATTTCATCATGGAAGGTTTGATCCGCTGCTTCGACTCGTATTCAATAGAACAGTATCTGCCACACCGCGTGGCGATGCAGTTTGGAATCGATCAGGACATTCCGGGGCACGTCCTCCGACTAAATGTCGACGCAAACATTGCATGGGCCGGTTTCACTCGACCGGTTAAGGACTCGGGATCTTATATACCCGGCCGTCTATCCGAGCCACAATGCACCATTCGCTACGCGGATTGGTGGAAAAAACTGAACGGGGGATCAAAAAAGGAGCTTGTAAGTGATGCCTCGGAGGCTCCGAATGTACAAGAAACCAAAAACGTAACTGTCTTCGGTGTAAAAATTGAGGATGACGACTTTCCTCCGTCGCCCGGATTCCCACCGAAGGGGAAGGGAATCGTCGTTAAAAGGAAGATTCTTGGCAGCTCGAATGCCAAGATTGTGGATTATTACACCCCTGTTTCTCCCGGTGGCTCTGCTCTGAAGAGGCGGAATGAATCGGAAAAAGCGTCGGACCAAGTTTCCGGCGACTGCAGCCACCGCCGGGACGATGAAATGCACAGGAAGGACGACTCATCTTTCAGAGATGAGGATGTGGCTGAGCCTGGTGCATCGACAAGAGCAGACGCCGGAGAAGAAGCAGGGGATGCGTGGAAGATGAAGATGATGGAGATGATCATGGATAGAAATTGCCGGACTCCGGTGGAGGGCAGCAGCTTGTCCGACGCAGAATTAGCAGAGCGAGTAGAACAGCGGATCGGGCGGATGGAAAGGCTGGTGGCTTCGATGAAGTCGGAGAAGAGAAGTGATCTGCCTATGCGGAAATAATTTTTAATAACTTGTTGTCTAAGAGTGTAATTTTCTTTCTAAAATACCATTAATTATATTATACTACTAATACTAAAAGAGTGTTTGAGAAATAATTTTTTGAAGAGTTTTTAGCTTATTGAACAGCTAAAAATCAGTTAAAAAGCTAATTTAGATATTTCGTAAATTAGCTTTTGAAACAACTTAATGGACCCAAAGAGTTTTTTCATTCTAATTTTTATTATTCCTTATTTACTCTTAAAATTTAATTATTTATTTTATACATATAAATATATTTTTATAGCAGTATTTATTAATTATTTTTAATATATTTAATTTATTAAATTATATTTTTATTTTTGTAAATTTAAAATAATTACTATTATTAATTATTATATATAAATTATTTTATTTGTAAAATATATAATTTTTTAAAACTAAATCAAATAGAAAAAATAAAGTTATTAATTTATTTATATATATTAAAACAATAATTAACATAATAAAAAAATATATACAAAGATTTATTATTTTATATTTTACATAATATCAATAAAAAAATCATTATTTTTTAGTAAAAATAATTTCTTCACATCTAAATAATAAAAATAAAAATAAATATTTTATAATATTTTTATAATTTTCAATAATTAATAACAAAAATTCTCATAAATTTCAAACCAAAATGAACAAAATTAAATATTTAAAAAAATAAGATATCAATGTCTTTAATAGTCATTTTATGTATAAACAACTAATGTCAAACCGTTGTTTTACCAAGCACTTTAATACAAACCACTAATTGAATCGGCTAACAACTAACGACTAAAAGCTATCAACTAATTGATAAACGTCCACTGAGTTAACTAATAAAAGATAAAATAGATTTTTTTATCAGTAATGCTACCTTGTATTATGTAATGGAGTACTAAATAAAAGAGATAGATTAATAATATTTAATTATGCTACTATCATGTCAGAATTTTATTTAACTATAGGTATAATAATGGATTGTAAACATGTAAACTAATCACACCCTAGTTGTATTATATTAACATAAATTATGTGTTTTATATTTTTATATGGTATGCCGTTGTATTATATTAACATAAATTACATTTTTTATATTTTTATACGGTGTGCCGTTTGTTTTTATATCGTGTATTGTTATTTTATATTTTGTATTTTATTATGTTAATATAATTAATGCGTTGAATATTTTTTTGTATGTTTTTATATTATATATTGTCGGTCTGTGTTGCATTTTATATCTCAATATAATAATTATTATCCATGGAAAATAAAGATTTTTAATCTTTTTTTTTTACTCCTTACTTTTAGAGGCAATAAGTTACATTATGTGACAGAGAAGACAGGAGGCGTAATAAATTATATTAGGTGACAGACATGCGTCGGAGGTTCGAATACAGGGATTTGAATACATAATTTTACAGTTGTGTAGAGGCGTAATAAGTTAAACAAATCAACCTTGATTTTTTAAATTAGCATAATAAAGCAGTTAAACAAATGTTTTTACACAAACACATGCAGTATATATTGTATTAAATAAATATACACATAAATTGTATTAATATACTTTGTGTTAGAAATTGATTATAACATGTGTTAGCATTGAATTATGTTACCTATTGTTATTTTATATGCTATTTTTTATTATTGTATGTTTATATATTGTGTGAGATAATTTTAAATGCTTTCAATCATATGTTATATTTGTAATAATTATATCAACATAAAATATATATTTTATATTATATATATATATTGTTTTTATATTATATATTGTCATTTCATATTCTATATTTTATTATGTTAATATAATTCATTTCATATTTTTAATATATATGTTGTTTGTTTTTATATTATATATTGTCATTTCATATTCTATATTGTCTTTTGTGTATCTTTACATTATGTATATCTTTTATATCTCAATATAGTAATGGTCACCCTGCAAAATAAAAATTTTTATTTTTTTTTATTTTACTCTTCTTTTATAATTAATATTTTTACAAAAAAATTAAAATTATTTATGCATGAGGTCAGTAATATAACAGTGGTTACCATAGTGAATATTTTAAGATTTAATACCAAGCTGACAGTGCATCTTGTGTTAAAAGAGAACACACGATCTTATTATTATAGACAATACATCATTTATATTACCATAATATAAATAAAATACATAAACTAACAACATATAACATATTTATATATAATACACATTTTAAGTTTGAATAGATAACACCTATTTTTATTTCACTCAACAGTATCTGCTATCCGTTTTATTTTATTTTTTATTTTTTTTGTTGATTGAAAAAATCAATATGGTAAAATCAACACGGTAATATATTTTATAGTTTTTGGATAACGTGGAAATCTGTAGTTGTTATTCTTCGAGTACGTTTTGAGTAAATTTTGATCAAATATAATATTTTGCAAAGAATTGAATAAGTTTTTTCTTCAATACAAGCATGTTGGGTGGATTAAATTTAAGTATAATATATTTGTGAGTTCTTACATCAATATTATAAATTTTTTAATGTCTTTGTTCGTATAGGCAAAATTCTTGTTCTCCCATTATACACGGACGAGATATGTAAATTGATCGAAGATCGAAAGACATGCATTGTCTGTAAATTGTAGGATTATTGTTCCCGAGATTGTCTTTTTTGCAAAGAAAGATACATTTAAACATACATTTCCTTCAAAAAATTTTTTTTTTTTTTAAAATAATAAATTAAGAAAACACTAGAAGTGAAATGATTAGATTTATTGCTGACCTATTTTCTATTTTACAGGTACACTCCCGTTGAACATGACAAAATTTATCTACTACAGTATGTGTGGTGCACTAATGCGTGGATTAGTTATTGTGTAATTTTCGATAATCTTGTTAATTTATAAACAACAATTCTGGAAATTAACATATAATTTATAAATTGTTATTTGATTTTTGGTACTAAAATGTTAATTTATAAGTTTTAAATATTAAATATTGACAAATAATTATTGAGTTGTTACTTGAGATTTGGTAGTGAACAGCAAACTAGTTTATTTGCTATAAATTTTAGATATTGATCGATAATTGGTAGGGTGTTACTTGCTCTTTGGTACAAGCCGTTAATAATTTAACGGTAATTTTTAAAAATTGATAGATAATTATTGACTTATTATTTAAATTTTGGCATCGAGGTGTTAATTTATTAGATGTAAATTTTAAACATTGACAAATACTTATGGATTGTTATTTGAGTTTCGGTACTGAACTGTTAATTTATCAGCTATAAATTTTGAGCATAGAGGGAAAATTATTGAATTATTACGTACTAGCTGTTGATTAATTAACTTGTAATATTTAAAAATTAATAAACAATTATTGGATTGTTACTTGACTTTTTGTACGGAGCTCCTAATTTATTAGCAATAAGTTTTGGACATTGATTCTGTTGGTCCCAAATTTGGCAAATGAATAATAGTAAACAACCAAAAGCAGAATAGACACAGAAATTTACACCATCATATTCAATCGCAGAAAGTTCATAAGTCGGTCAAACAATATGCACACGCAATAAGCAGAAATATGCAAACACAGAATTAATGTTAATATAATTTGGTCACACAAAACCTACACCCGGAGGTTTCAATCTAGGCACGATTTCACTAATTCAAGAACAAAATGAGCTTACAAGTGAATTGTATCGATCCTCTCTCAATAGATGCTAATCTAACCTCACCTGAGTTCCCAAACTAGCCAATAATACCATCATCTCACGTGTACCCCACAATTTTTTTTTTTTTTATATTAGTTAATCACCTCAAATAATCCATCAAAAAGATATCTAATAAACTAAAATTCAATCTCCTCCGATATTTTTCACCACTATCCACTCACAAAAAAACATTAGGATGTTACAACAGATTTCATTCCTTTATAAAGGGGACAAGTTATATCTAATATAGGCCTGGAGACATAACGATGAATAATTCACATTTTGGTCTTTTATTTATTGTGATTCTGAATTCCAAACCCAACCAGTTTTATCATGTGCAATTTGGACTATATGCAAACATCAACAAAAATACAAATATGGTCCATTATACTACTATCAAGATCTTTATTGGGTGTTATCTGCTCTTCAGTGTTAGATATTAATTTATTATCAGTAATTTTTAAAAATTGAATGATAATTATTGAATTGTTACATGATTTTTTCTATTGAGCTGTTAATTATTAGGTTGTTATTTGAATTTTGGTAGTGAGTATTTTGGACGGGGGGACTAATAATTATTAGATTGTTATTATTTGAATTTTGAATGCTGACAATTGACATATAGTTATTAAGTGTTATTTGAATTTTGGTACTGACATGTAAATTTATTACCTGTAAATTTTTTATGTTGACAAAATAATTATTAAGTTGTTATTTAAATTTTGGTACTGAGAATTTTGGATGGTGACAGATAATTATTAGGTTGTTATTGTTTGAATTTTGGATGCTGACATGTGACAAATAGTTATTAGGTGTTACTTGAATTTCGGTACTGAGCTATAAATTTATTAGCCGTAAGTTTTGGATGATGACAGATAATTATTAGGTTGTTGTTTGAATTTTGGTACTGAGTATTTTGGATGGTGACGGATAATTATTAAGTTGTTATTATTTGAATTTTGGATGTTGACAGCTGATAGATAGTTATTAGGTGTTATTTGAATTTTGGTACTGACCTGTAAATTTATTACTTGTAAGTTTTGGATGTTGACAGATAATAATTAGGTTGTTATATGAATTTTGGTACTCTGTATTTTGAATTGTGTCATATTATTATTATATTGTTATTATTTGAATTTTGGATGCTGACAGTTGACATATAGTTATTAGGTGTAATTTGAATTGTGGTACTGACCTGTAAATTTATTACCTGTAATTTTTGGATGTTGACAGATAATTATTAGGTTGTTATCTGAATTTTGGTACTGAGTATTTTGGATTGTGTCAGATAATTATTAGGTTGTTATTATTGAATTTTGGATGCTGACAGGTGACAGATAAGTATTAGGTGTTATTTGAATTTTGGTACTGACCTGTAAATTTATTACCTGTAAATTTTGGATGTTGACAGATAATTATTAGGTTGTTATCTGAATTTTGGTATGAGTATTTTGAATTGTGTCAGATAATTATTAGGTTGTTATTATTTAAATTTTGAATGGTGACAGGTGACAGATAGTTATTAGGTGTTATTTAAATTTTTCTACTGACCTGTAAATTTTTTATCTTTAAGTTTGGGATGTTGACGGATAATTATTAAATTGTTATCTTAATTTTGACACTGAGTTTTTCGAATTGTGTCAGATAATTATTAGGTTGTTATTATTTGAATTTTGGATGCTGATAGCTGACAGACAAATATTTATTAGGTGTTATTTTAACTACTATTTATTTTATTTATTTTTTAAGATATATTAGTTCGTACCGCCTCACTCTTCTTATTCAAACTTACTAATAATAGCCTTCATCTCTACTGTTCAGCTCCCACACCCACACTCTCTAATGGCGGACAATCTTATCATGGAACATCGCGAGGAGTCGTTAATTTCTCCGATCACTGGTCTCCCATCTCACAGACTCGCTCATTTCCTCAAACCCTCGATTACCTCACCGGAAGTCTTCGCCGCCGCCCCTTCTCTGGTTCCATCTACCGCCGGAGCAGAAAAATCGCCTCTGAAGTCCGCTTTCGTCGGGTGGAAAATAACGCCGAAGGAGTGGACGAAATGGGTGGAGGACATGAGTTCCTCGCATCGATCGACGTGGGAGAGCGCCGGGATTCTCGACGCTATAATGAGCTCCACAATAACAATACACCGAAACAAGGATCTCATCTTCGGTTTCCTTGAGAAATGGTGCGAGACCACCAACTCGTTCGTTTTCCCATGGGGAGAAGCTACTGTGACGCTCGAGGACATGGCGGTGCTCGGCGGATACTCTGTCTTGGGGGAGAGGGCTCTGAGCGCTTCCGAAAGAGGGGAAGTAGGGGAAGTAGAGAAGAAACTGCGGAAAGAGCGGTCGATGGTTTCTAGATGCAAATCGAAGAAGCCGATGGTGGGGCCATGGATGGAGAAATTCATGGGGAGCCAGAGCGAGATCGAGCACGAAGCCTTTCTCGTGTATTGGCTTTCGAGATTCGTCTTCCCCATTGCTTCCGGCATTGTTAACGTAGATATGCTGTCCATCGCCGCCCGCTTGGGTCGAGGGGCTAAAATAGCTCTCGCGCCGGCGGTTCTCGCCGGAATCTACCGGTCCTTGAGCTTGCTCAAAGCCGGCGTCAATTTTTATAGAAAATCAGAGGTGGAGAATGGCGCTGCTGTTAATATTTCAGTTTCGGCGCCATTAGCGATTGTCCAGGTCTGGATATGGGAGAGATTCCCCAGTTTAAGCCCGACGCCGACGCCGACGCAGGTTGGGCTGAACAAGCGGAGATTGTGTAGGTGGGGGGGTTTAAAGAAAGTGAAGGCGGAGAATCTGTTGTCCGCCATTGATGCAGCTGGAGCAGAGTTTCTGTGGCGGCCGTACAAGGAAAATGGCTTCCCTGAGAAGCTCTTCAAGGATTGTGGATATTGGGCTTCAGTTGATTCAGAAGCCGACGAGGACTTAGAAGGTTTGATCCGCTGCTTGAGGACTAGCGAGCTCGTCGGACTTGGCTTCGACGCGAATTCAATAGAACAGTATCTGCCACACCGCGTGGCAATGCAGTTTGGACTCGATCAGGACATTCCGGGCCACGTCCCCCGAGTAAACGTCGACGCAAACATTGCATGGGCCGATTTCACTAGACCGGTTAAAGAGTCGGAGCTTTATATACCCGGGCGCCTATCCGAGCCACAGTGCACCATCCGCTACGCGGATTGGTGGAAAAAACTGAACGGGGGATTCGTCGGTGTAAACGTTGAGGACGACGACTTTCCTCCGCCGCCCGGATTCCCACCTAAGGGGAAGGGAATCGTGGTTAAAAGGAAGATTCTTGACCGCTCGAGTGGCAAGACTGTGGATTATTACACCCCAGCTTCTCCCGGTGGCTCTGCTCTGAAGAAGCGGAATGAATCCAAAGAGCCTAATTCTGGCACGAATGAATCGGAAAAAGCTTCGGACCAAGTCTCCGGCGACTGCAGCCACCGCCGGGACGATGAAATGCACAGGAAGGACCCCTCATCTTTTAGAGATGAGGATGTGGCTGAGCCTGGTGCATCCACAAGAGTAGACGCGGGAGAAGAAGCAGGGGATGCGTGGAAGGTGAAGATGATGGAGGTTATCATGGATAGAAATTGCCGGACTCCGGTGGAGAGCAGCAGCTTGTCCGACGCGGAATTCGCAGAGCGAGTAGAACAGCGGATTGGGCGGATGGAAAGGCTGGTGGCTTCGCTGAAGTAGAACAGAAGTGATCTTCCCCGTAATAATGTTTAATAAATATTGTATTAGATAGTTAATTAGTTTAATTAATTTATGTACAATATTTATGTATTGTTGTTTAAATTATTTTTATTTAGTGATATATTAAAATAAAATTTTTTAAATTTTTATGTTAAATATTTTATATTTTGAAATTATTTTTTTTAAAACTATTATATTCTTAGTAAAACTGTAATAATATAAAAAAAAGTTAATTTTATTAATTTAAATATAATTAAAAAATAAATCTGTCACTATAAAATTTTTAACGTAAATAATATTTTATGTAAAATTATTTTAAAAGTAACAAAAAAATAAAATTTAAAACTAAATAATTTAGTTATTGATAGAGATAAATATAATAGATGAATTATGGATTTTTTTATTCTCATCAAATCTTAATCATATTTTCTAATAATACTTTCAAATTTAATCTATTTTTTATAAATATGCAAAAGAATTGAGTCAAATTTAGTTAGTAATACATTATTTTTTCTTACAAAATAATACAATTAAATATTTTAATAATATTTTTACAATTCTCAATAACAAATAATAATAATAATAATAATAATTCTAAACACTAAAAGATATGCAATTTTTTTTATTCTTATTTTTGAAAGAAATAAAATGTAAATTCTATCCAAAATATTAAATAAAACACTCTAACAAAAATATTTGATATATTTTATAATTAATATTATTAAAAAATATATTCATTATATACACATCAACATAATCTATATATTCTACAGTCTTTTCAAAATTTAACAATTCAACAAAAAAATAGTTTTTATATTACCAACACATTTCTAATAGTTCAAATTAAAAATACAAACAAGTATTTTCTTCGTCCTGCTTTAATGTATATATTTTTTCATTTCCATCCGTCTCGGTTAAACAACGTATACATTTTTCTTTAGTAACTATGGATATTATTTTTTGTTTCAAATATCTTTATATTACTATCACATCGTTGCTTTTACTTAAAAAATAAAGACAATTATCTTTACACTATTTTTAAGTATTTATTATATTATTTCTTAAATTATGCACCAAAAGTAACCATACACTATATTGCGGAACGGAGGAAGTGTATTTTTATTTTTTAGATTATATTAATATATAATTTAATATATAAAAATATCAAATCAATACTTATTTATATTGTATCAAAATATAAAATTTTATTATTCTAAAATTCAAATTCAACTCTCAAATGTATGACAAAAACAGCTCTAAAGAAAATTCTGTAAGGAATGATCCGGTGGTGTAGGGGTTGGATTTGTAATCGTGAGGTCATGGTTCAAACCCCCGACACCTCTGGTCACACTTTCAGGCCGCGGGTTCCCACGTCATCCAAAAAAAAAAAAGGCATTTTATATCTCAGTATAGTAACCATCATCATGCAAAATGAAGATTTTTAATCCTTTTATTTTATCCCTTACATTTATAATTAATGTTATTACAAAAGTTACATTTTATTTATGTATGAGATTGGTAATATGACAAAGATTACGGTACTAAGTATTAAAGTTTATCATCGTGTTGATAGCACATCGTGTTTTAAAATAAAACACACGATGTTATTATAGATAACACATTATTTATAATATCATAATAGAAATACAATATATAAACTAACAATAAATAACATGCTTTTATATATTATACATTTTAAGTATGAATAGATAACACCTACTTTTATTTCACTCGTCAGCGGTATCTTCTATCTACATTTCCTTATTTTTGCTGATTAAAAAAATTAATTTTCAATCATATTATAGGGAATTAGGAATAAGTATTCTTTTATGATTATCTTAACAAGTACATGTAAGTGAATGTAAATTTAATTGGATATTAATATGGGAGAAAAAAAAAAAAATTTGATTTATCAGCAAATAATCATTGAGAGTATTTGATTAATGAAATAGTTTAAATATATATATATATATATATATATATTATATGCAGTATAAAAATTATATAAATAATATAAAAATAATAAATATATATTATTATTTTTTAATGTATTTTTGAGAAAATATATTTTTAAAAAAGAACACAACCTGGATTGTTAATTTATAAACAATAATTATGGCAATTAACATATAATTACTCTGATTGTTATTTGAGTTTTGGTACTAAAGTTATTAATTTATAAGTTGTAAATGTTAGATATTGATAAATTATTATTAGATTGTTACTTTATTGTGGTACTGAATTGTATTATTACCCGTAAATTTTGGACATTAACATATAATTATTGAATTGTTATTTGAATTTTGATACTAAACAATTAATTTATTTGTTATAAATTTTGGTACTAAACAATGAATTCAGCTGTCTGAATGTCATCTGCAACATTGATTAATTAGATTACTCATTTAATTAAAATAATTAGATTTAAATTAAGTGTTGAGATTTATTTCAGCTTATGCTGAATTTTAATCAGCACTTGATCCGAAGATATAAATTTTAGACATTGATCTATAATTATTAGGGTGTTATTTGTTCTTTGGTACAAGCTGTTAATAATTAACAGTAATTTTTAAAAATTAATACATAATTATTGAGTTAATATTTTAAATTTTGATAGAACTGTTAATTTATTAATTGTAAATTTTGAACATTGACAAATAATTATTGGTTGTTATTTGATTTTGGTACTGAGCTGCTAATTTGCCAACGGTGAATTTTGGGCATTGATAGAAAATTATTGAGTTGTTACGTAGTAGCTGTTAATTAATTAACTTGTAATTTTTAGAAATTAATAGATAATTATTGGGATGTTACTTGATTTTTGATACCAAACTTTTAGTTTATTAGCAATAAGTTTTGGATATTGATAAATCTGTTGGTCCTAAATTTGCCAAATAAACTAACAGTAAACATTCCAAAGAATAATGGACACAGATAAATTTATACAACCGGATTGAATCGCAAAAAGTTCATGAGCCGATCAAACAGTGTCCACATGCTAAGCAAAAATATGTAAAATTGTTAATCCAGTTCGGTCATACAAGATCTACATACGAGAAGTTTCAACCAAGACACGATTTTACTAGTTTAAAACAAGATGAGCTTATAAGTGAATTGTATCAATCATCTCTCAAGAAACTTTAATCTAATCTCACCTAAGTTTCCCAAATAGCCAATGATCGCACCCTCTCACATGTACCCCACTATTTTTTTACATTAACTAACCACCTCAAAGAATCCACGAGAAGATAATATCTTTATTGGAGTGTTATTTTCTCTTTAGTGTTAGCGGTTAATTAATTTATTAACAGTAATTTTTTAAAATTGATAAATACTTATTGAATTGTTACTTGATTATTTCTATTGAGCTGTTAGTTTATTAGTGGTAAATTTTAACTATTGAGTGATGATTATTGGATGGTTACTTGATTTTTGGTATTGTTAATTTCTCAGCATTAAAATTTGAGCATTAAAAAATAATTATTGAATTGTCACTTGTTCTTTGGCATTAGTTGTTAATTCATGAACTTATAATTTTTAGACATATAGATGATTGATTGTTACTTGATTTTTGGTATTGACCTATTAATTTATTAGCGGTAAGTTTTGGACATTGACAAAAAATAAAATAAAATAGAGTATTGAATTATTACTAATTTTTGGTACAGCTGTTAATTTATTAGTTGTAAAATTTGACATTAACAAATAATTATTGAATTGTTACTTGATTTTGGGTAGGGAACAGTTAATTTACTAGCTGTAAATTTTGTAATTTGACATATAATTGTCGGATTGTTACTTATTTGGTACTGAGCTATTAATTTATTAGTTGTAAATTTTGTAAGTCTGACAGATAATTATTGGGTTGTTACTTTATATTTGATACTGAGCTGTTAATTTATTAGCGGTTAATTTTGGATGTTGATAGATAATTATTAGGTTATTATTTAAATATTGGTACATAGTGTTTTGGATGCTGACAAATAATTATTTCGCTGTTATTGGAATTTTGAATATTGACAGATAATTATTAGGTTGTTATTTGAATTTTGGATGCTGATAATTATTAGGTTGTTATTTGAATTATGGTGCGATTTATTACCCGTAAATTTTGGATATTGACGGATAATTATTAGGTTGTTACTTGAAATTTGGTACTGGGTATTTTGGATGATGAAAAATAATTATTATGTTGTTATTTGAATTATGGTGCGGAGCTGTTAATTTATTACCCGTAAATTTTGGATATTGACGGATAATTATTAGGTTGTTACTTGAAATTTGGTACTCGGTATTTTGGATGATGACATAAAATTATTATGTTGTTATTATTTGAATTTTGGATGTTGACAAATAATTATTAAGTTGTTATTTCTTGAATTTTGGATAATGACATATAATTATTAAGTTGTTATTATTTGTTGACCGATAATTATTAGGTTGTTATTATTTGAATTTTGGATGTTGACCGATAATTATTAAGTTGTTATTATTTGAATTTTGGATGTTGACCGATAATTATTAGGTTGTTATTATTTGAATTTTGGATGTTGACCAATAATTATTAGGTTGTTATAATTTGAATTTTGGATGCTATGTATAAATTAGGTTGTTATTTGAATTTTGAATACTGACCTATAATTATTAGGTTGTTATTTGTTTGGTGCTGAACTGTAAATTTATTACCTGTAAATTTTGGACGTTGAATAATTATTAAGTTGTTATTTGAATTTTGGTACAAAATTATTAATTTATTACCTGTAAATATTGAGCATTGACAATAATTATTAAGTTGGTATTGTATACATGTTTGTAGAAAAGAATATATATATATATATATATATTTGCTTATTAATCAGCTACAAGGAATATCAGAAGCCTGCGAAATATTAGTTCGTACCCCCCTCACTCTTCTTATTCAAAATTACTAATAATAGCCTTCATCTTTACCGTTCAGCTCCCACACCCACACCCACACCCTCTAATGGCGGAGAATTTCATCATGGAAGGTTTG